TTTTCTTCTCCAATGATTATTACAACAACTATTGCGCATTCGCACAGGTTCCCTATCCTTCAGAACAGAGAAGAAAAGCAGACCTTCTTCCTTGTGATCTAGGGTTCTCGTTCGTTGCTTCATCGCTACATTGACAACGACGGGAAAGCGTGATTCCGGATATGGAAGGGGCGGTGTCAATGAGTGACGTGGCGGCTTTCCAACCGGAGGCCCTCCAGCTCCCAGAATTGTCACCATTGGCCTTGAAAGCTAATCCATTCCTCGCCGAGCAGCTCTTCTCCCAATGGCTTTCCCTTCCAGATACTTCTCGATTGGTAAGCGACGCCCTAATGCGTTTCGTCTTCATTTCTTCTTTGCTGAATTCGGTGATCTGTTGTTGGATTTGGTTCTGATTGCGCGCCCTCCTTCTGAATTGCTCTGTATCTTGTTTTCGTCAATTTTAGCTAAGGACTGCTGAATTCTTGATCACAACTTAGATTTACAAATGTAGGGGGACTATAAGTCGGTATTGTGATCCAGGATCCGAATACCTGAAATTTGAAAAGATTCCTTAGTGTTGATTGTTTTTGCTCGTGTAATTTCTTTACGGAGGAAATTCGTAGAATACTTCTATCTTCCAATTTCCGGGAAGTTGATAATTTGCCCTCGAATTCTACTGATTAACAACGCCACATTTCCTCTTTACCCTTTTTCGAGCACCGTAGGTTTGTTCTGTGCCATGCCTTAATTTGTATGTCATATGTATATGTAGGTCAAATCATTGCTCTCTGCGGCTAAGACAGGGGAGTCTTTGAATGCTGTTGGCAGTTCTAGCAGTACAAATGCTGGTTCCGGCAGTTCAATACCGTCCATGTTTCCTTCTGGCTGCACTCCTCCGCTTTCCCCTCGTAGTGTTTCAGGCTCACCCCGTGCTGTGAAACAGAGAGCTGGTCCGTCCTTTTTAGGTTCTCCACTAAAAGTCATCAGTGAGCCTGTGCGAGAAGTCATTCCTCAGGTTTGAACTTTTCTTGAATGAAACTGTCCTGACATGGCCAGTGATACTGCCAGATAGATGCATGGAAGATTCTGACTTTTAACTGTCTGCAGTTTTACTTTAAAAATGGACGACTGCCTCCAGCCGAGACGAGAGAGCGATGCTTGTTTGATACTGATCAACATTTTTATGGTCACATGGATGGATTGCAACAAAATGGTTAGGGTACTCCCAGTTTGGCTAAATTTGGCCCTTTGTCATAGTCTTACTTCAATTGTTTCACGCATTTAAGACCTTGCCTTAAACTGATGGTTTTTTATTTATTGTTCTGTCATTTTCAATTCTAGAATTTAAGTCGGTTGCGAAGGATATCTGCAAGCTTCCGTCTTTTTTCTCCTCCATATTGTTTAGAAGAATTGATGCAAACAGTGTTGGGTTTGTCACAAGGTATCTCTCTTTACAACCCTCACTGACTTATTGTTGCTTGGTTAAAGTGGAAAACCATTTATTATCATGCTTTCTCCCTTGAAAGAATACAGTTGAGGAGTAGTTGCTTCACATAGAAACTATTCGCACTTTCTCTATTCGATTCTTGGGCAAATGAGGCAATATGAGCTCCTGGAACTCTAACATTTTCTTTGTGCTTTTGAATAGGAAAAAGCTTCTTTGTTAATCTTTTGTTACACTATTATTTCTCCTTGGTTCTGCTTCCGCCTGGGAGTGGAAATGAAGTTCTACATAGTAAATTTGTAAAAGGATGATAGAGGAAAAATTCTGTAATAGGAATCACGGGTTTCAGAACCCAAATAATACAGCTATGTTTCATTGTATCCCTTATTAAGCGGTTATAAAAATTGCTTGTTCCAAAAATCCAAAAAGTGCTGGTTCTTGTTTTCTTTTTTGTCATAGGAGAATGGACATTTCTATAGCTATAATGAGAATCCAAGTTACAAAATCCCAATTGTACTGTTCTTTTTGTGTCCATAGTTTGGTTACCATCTTTAGAGTACGAAGGACGAGTTTTGCGATCCAATTTAGCCTGATCTTTTGCAATGCAGGTGAATTGTAACAAACATGCTGTAGGTTTCTATCTGCTTTCTATGAGTGTCTTTGATATATATTGTTGGTTTTATCCTGATCTGTTTTTTTGGGGTTACAAATTACAGGGATCAATTTATTGACTATTGGGTGAAAGGGAACTTCTTGACGATGGATTTAGTTACTCAAATCTACATCATTCTCAAGCAACCGGATCATGAATACCTCACTCAGGTTCAGCATGCTGCCTTACCTTTTGCTTTTCCATTTTTGTGATTGCTTTTTATTATTTGCTTGGAATATTTTTACCGAGTATTCATTGAAAACTGAATGTGGGGTACTGGATTAATACTTACACTGGTTTCATGTCTGACTTATCTACAGGAGGATTTCAGACCTATTTTACGAGAAATTTTGGCTACTCATCCGGGGTTGGAATTTCTGCAGAGTACTCCAGAATTCCAAGAGCGATATGGTAAAATTAAATTGCTCTATATTTTTCGTTCCCTTTCCTTCTATTCCTGTTCATGCATAAGATTCTCTATCTGTGACTGTCTTATGTTGTTTTGTGTCTTCTCCTACAGTATTACTTCTCTTTTCTGCATAATCTAATTGATTTTTGCTGGTGTTTGGAAAATATATAGATCTTGTCTCTCTGTTGAGTTCTGGCTAATTGTGTAACTCTTCTGTCTGTCTTCCTTTAAGATTTAGGAATGACACCTTTAGCAATATATATTCTTTTTTCACTATGCATGAGGCTTAAGATGGGAGTATTTATTATACCCTCTTATTTTATGGCGGAGTCTTGCTTCATACTGGTCAGAGTGTGATGCTATGTTGGGTATGGCCCTTATTTTCTAACTGACATTGCAATTGAACAGCTGAAACGGTCATATACAGAATATTTCACTATGTAAATAGATCAGGAACTGGTCGTCTCACCCTCAAGGAGTTAAAGCGTTCAAACTTGGTTGCCGCAATGCATCAAGTAGATGAGGAAGAAGATATTAACAAAGTTTTAAGGTATGCATGTAACTGAAGATTTAGTTGGATGAGAATACAAAAAACTTAATTTTAGCCGTAGTAGTATGTTTGGGAGATGGTAGATGTACTGAAGTTAAATTGGATGAGAATACAAATTTGTTGTCTTATTCACTTCAGTTTACTTCTTCTTCTTTTTTTTTTTTTTTTTTTTGCTGACTATTAGCATCTAATGATATCCAAACTATCAGAGTTTTTGGCGTCCTTCCTCAATCATTACGTTCATCAAATTTCAGTCTTTACAACGGTTTTCACTGTGTTGCATGGCTATGCTACTTCCCTGAAATATTTATGTTTTGTCATTTGGATCTGTCAGGTATTTCTCTTATGAGCACTTCTATGTGATATACTGCAAATTCTGGGAGCTCGACACAGACCATGATTTCTTGATTGACAAAGAGAACCTCATTAGATATGGCAATCATGCTCTTACTTACAGAATTGTTGATAGAGTATTTTCCCAGGTGTGCTTTCTTTTCTCTTTTTCATATCTTGTTACCAGGCTCAGTTCTTACAATAGTAAATGATCTGCCATTGTGTAAACTGCTTCTGTGTCATTAATTTTAGACTCTCTTGTGTAGGTTGCCAGGAAGTTTAGAAGCAAGGTTGAAGGCAAGATGGGTTATGAAGATTTCGTATACTTCATACTCTCTGAGGAGGACAAATCTTCTGAACCGGGCATCGAGTTCTGGTAATTTAGTTGTTGTTTTTGGAATCGCGTATTGAGTTTGCAATTGCATTGAGAGGTTGTAACTATGTCAAGAACGTTTTTAAATTAGGCACTGATAAGTACTTTCCCTGGAGTGGAAACGAAAGTCGGTTGGTCTTCGTGGTTCAAGATCAATGTTTTCTGGATCTGCTGTATTGATGTGTTTTGTGTAAACTTTTGTTGGATGAGGTTATACATCTGAGAGTAAACAACTGAGTGGAAACAGGAAAAAGCAGTAGAATGAACCTCAGCAACTAAATTCATCTCGTCATCTTTCGCTGACACCAGTCCTTTAATCTTGAAGTCTTCAATTTGGTCTTTATGACCTTCTTAATGCTATATAACTGCTACACTATGCACTTCAGGTTCAGGGTATTTGGCTAATGTGTGCTTTTACTGCTTTTTGATGCTACCTTGTTTCGGCGCAGGTTTAATTGCATTGATCTGGATGGGAATGGTGTCCTCACTTCCAATGAAATGCAGTTTTTTTATGAAGAACAATTACATAGAATGGAGTGTATGGCACAAGAACCAGTCCTGTTTGAGGATATTTTGTGCCAGATAATTGACATGATTGGACCAGAGGTAAATTGCTGATCTATTCTATTTTTTCGATTTCTACTGTATTGACAGCTCCGTGCTTCATATTTACCATGCAAGTACTTTGGATCTTCAGACTGAAGGTCTTGTCACATTGCGCGACATGAAAAGGACCAAACTTGCTGCGCATGTGTTCAACATTCTTTTCAATCTCAACAAGTTCATTGCCTTCGAAAGTCGGGATCCTTTCCTAATTCGTCAGGCATGTGGAAGAATGTTTTTATTTTTATTTATTTTTATAAATAATTCTATCGCGGCAGTTGCTGGCTGCTTGACGGGGTGAATTGATGAGGGGTACATAAATAAATGAACGAATGTTGGTTTCAGGAACGAGAGAATCCAACATTGACAGAGTGGGATCGTTTTGCACATAGAGAGTATATAAGGCTTTCAATGGAAGACGATGCAGAAGATGTGTCAAATGGAAGTGGAGATGTGTGGGATGAATCACTTGAAGCTCCCTTCTGAACGCTCCCTGTAGGTATTTATTCTCTCGTTGCACTTGGTTCCCAGCATTTTAGTTGATCTTGTTTGTCTAAACCATGACTCACCCTCTCAAAAAAATTTAAGAGGGTGTGTTTGTATCATTCCTGAACGCTTATGCAGTGATATGCACTTTTTTTTTGGGTCTCTATGCAGCACTAACTACACATTTAAGCCGTGGATTGCTTTGCATAAGTTGAACAATGGTGGAAGAAGATTTGGTACTGCCGTACTGCTCACATATTCCACAATGCTCTTTGTTTATTCTTTTCATATTTACTCACTCACTCTCTCTCTCTCTCTCTATCTCGATCTCGATTTTCCCCTTATTCTTATTACAGCTGAAATTACAAACAGAAGAATAGGTATCTTTTCTATTTATGTTCGGACGTTAAAATAGTGTTAGCAAAACTTCAGAATTCAGGAGTCAAATATTCTGAATTTGTCATTGATCTTTAACTCTAGATATTCTTACATGTTTACCTTTAGTTTGTCGTCTTCAAGATTGTTGTATTTTGGGTTATCCTATGTATTAGAACTAGTATTGTGACCGGCCCGTTGACTGGTTGGTGGCCTTTCGGTCGATTCTATAGAAAGTTGATTTTCTTGGGTAAATATAATTTATTAGTTAATCCTTTTAACATTTTTAAATTATTAGCCAAATGCTATCGTAAAATCGATCCTTACACAAAATAGTAATTCGTATGTACCTTCGGACCCATTAATCATTTTTCTTACCCAATTGCTCAACAAATAATATGGGGAATTCCTACAATGTTTAGAACGAAGATCAATGTATATTTCATTACTTAAAATAAAATAGTCAATCACATAATTAGTGATGTAGCCCGAAATTCATCTAATGCAGACCAAATTTGGGGGAAAAGTGTAATGTAAGTTTCAGGATGTGTTCATGTTCTCAAAATTCATTCATCATGCAAAATATAAGGGATATAAAGATGCCACAACGAAAAATCGTTCACAATTCCACTATTTATTTTATTTCTAAAGTGTTTCTTTACTTTGCTTATTGCAGCTAGTACTCTTTCAACACTTGCAATGACAACCGATAACAACAAACACCCTTAAGTTTTTAGTTTTTGTTTATATTTAACTCACTTAAATAATATATGAATTAAAATTTAAATAGAGATTACAAAACATTACTTTCTATTAAGTTATCTACAATAATGTGGAAATCTTGTACTAAATCCACAACCACATAAACAAAGTTACTCTATATTTTTTCGACCAAGGTGGTGCAAATTACTCACCTTGGCCTCAAGTGGCTCCACCACTACACGTAATATACATCACATACATTATCTTAAATGATATTATGTAAAGTGAAAAGTAATTACACAAAATACTCTGCAGACTTTCGTCTTGTAATCTTTACTCCATCTATGAGTACCTTACGTAATCATTGTGAAATTACGTTACATAAGCCTTGGCTAATGAACGATTAACATCTCATTACGTAAACAGTTAAGGACTATGGAAACCTACGTGAACAAAGTTACAAATCAAGAGACTAAATTAAGCTCTACTCAGATTAATGATATGAAGAATGGAGTTAGATTTGTTTTTGGACATGGATAAGGATTATAGAAGGCCCACGCTTGATAACATTACCGGGATTTCTATGGCAATAAAAGAAAAAGGCAAAATACACTTTCATAGCCAAAACTTTGACGATTGTGACAATAATAGTCATTTTTGGCGAAATACCAGATATAGCCAGAATTTTGAATGTTTGATGACAAATATAGCCATTTCCGTTATATTCTTTAACGGCGTCACTCACACCGTTAGTCAAATTAACGGAATGCTTACATGGCTGCCAACTTAACCGACACATCATCGCCAACTCAACAACACTAGCCACATGAATACCATGTCATATTTTAATTTAAAAATAAATAAAAAATCACAAATATTTCTCATTCTCTCTCTTCTCCCACCACTCATGCTGTCGATCCTCTCCCTCAAACCATCGTCGCCGTCTTCTGCAACTCGACGGAGGTGGGTTCCCGCAGTTTCGCTTAAACCCCTTTTTGCACCAAACTCAACCAACCGGAGAATCACCAGAGACGGAGATGTCGAACTCGACGCGGTGGATTCCCAAAGCTAGGACCCTTTCTTCTCTCTTCCACTCGAAAAAGAACCCCAAATCGAGTTAGTTCATCCAAAATCCCTAAACGACCGAGAATGCTTGAGGAAGATCGGCTGCTGTGAGAAACGAGAGCAAACATAACCGGATTTCCATCGCTTACCGCCGCGTTTGGATGAGGAGAAAAAGCAGATTTTATCGCTCCAATGACGTCGCCGCCGTGCTCATCGTCGCTTTCGGAGGAGGAGAAGAAGCAGCAGCTCGCGACCGCCTTACTTCGCCGGAATCGATCAAGGCTCTACTCTGGTTCTTGTAATCATACGGAAGCAGAATCGCCGCCAATCTCCCCCTTCGTATCCAACCTCTTCCTAACCCTAATCTTCCGGCTCCTTCAGATCTCAACCTCAAAATCCGGTGACCGCTTTCAGATCATCCCTAATCGAAGCCGAATCTGTCTCGTTCCACCCGGAGATGATAATTTCCTCCTAGAAAGAGCAGAGCATGAGCGAGAGGCCCGTTGGGAATTCTAGACAAGCTCTATGACGATTCGAAGGGCAGAGCCGCGTTGGGGGAGCTCTCTGACGGTTCGACTGCTTGTGAAAGGGATGAGAAGGAAGAAGGTGAAGGGACGAGGCAGTGGGAAGAAAATCTCGTCCATGGCGAAATCCATTCCTAGCCTAGTCTGGCAGCAATGCCATCGCAGGGAAGAATCGAGATGGCGATGGAGGTGGGGAGAGGGTGGAGAACAGAGGGTAGGTTGGGTGAGAGAAGTTTTTTTTTTGTTTTATTTATTAGTTTTTATTTTTCATAAATCAAAAGACCCAGCCATTTAAAATATTTTTATTTTGATTATTGTAATTTTTTTTAAAAAATTAGTAAATCCACGTGGGAAATACGTACAGACAAAAATCGTCAGATCAGACAATCCGTTAGTCCAGTCAGCACGTTAACTCACACCGTCAAAGAATTGGACGGAATTTGGCTATTTTTGGTATTTCTTCAAAAGTGGCTATATTTGGCAAAACCGTCAAAGTTTTGGCTACACAAGTGTATTTTGCCAAAGAAAAAAAAAACATTACCCGGATTTATAAATTTGTGGCCCAGTATTTGTTTGTTAATTATGCGATGGAAATCTTAATTGCAGAGACGGAGTTACTTTTATATCCCGCCTTAAAACACGGGCAGAAAGTAAAATGGTTACGTGGCAGAACTAAAATTGAGTGAGCGTTTATGTTTTAGATTAGATTAGATTATGCTTCATCTACTTTTCGCATTGCAGTTGATGGGGTGACCAGTGCTCCGACTCATGGCGCAATTGGCGTGGTGGGTTTGGATCAGAATGTGCCAGTTTTTGCAATGGAAGGTTTCTTTCCATGCCTTTTTCATCCTAAGATCATGGAGGTGTTGGCAATTAAAGAAGCTCTATTACTACTTCGACAATGGCAGTGGCAGGATCGACCAATCGTGATCACAAGTGATGCTCTTGCAGTTGTACAACATTTGAAGGCTTCTGATGCCAATGATGCCCTTGTGGGGGCTATCTTACAAGAAGTCATCTTTATGTTGCAAGAATTTCCACTAGTTTCTGTTGCTTTTACTCCTAGAGAAGCGAATCGGGCTGCCCATGTTGTGGCACGTAATGCCTTATGCTACTCTGGCTCTTGTAGTGTTCGTTTCAATTGTTCTTATTTGCTTTGACTATCTTTTCACGAAGAAGCCGTTGTATTGTGGCTATCTCGTGCTTACCTAGTTAATCCACAAGGGTTTCTATGACAACAAAAAAAAAAGATTATGCTTCATATACCAATGGGATTAGTTTAGTCATTAAGGTGAATGTAATTATTAAGTCTCAAACTGGTACGGTTCTTGATTTTTTGGGTAAACTGCAAGTTCGGTTGTTGGGATCAATAAATTATTTCACATTTGTCACTAATTTTTTATTTTATTTCATTCATGGTCACTAATATTAATTTAATAGTTCAAGTTTGGTCACTAGCCATTATCTTCTGTCAGTCATCGTCATAGACGTCAGTTTTTGCTGACCCGACTAATATAGATGGTAGTCATGCTAATTTAACTTGGAAATGTGAAAACCAAACCCACCATGTCATAAAAATCAACCCAACCCGTGGTGTTCTTTGAGATTCTCACCCACATGTCATCGCAGTAGCTACAATCCGAACCGATAGACAGTGGAGTCTTGTAGTAGACGAGATCCTGAATTCATCATGAAATCGTATAACATACTAAGTACAAGACTAATTCATTCGTATTCCATAAAAGAATTACTAGGCGGAATTCAACTTATCTAGAAGAAGATAATGCTACCACTTTGAAATATAATGGGTTTACAGATCCGGAGTTTGAGAATTCAAGCATGATTTTTTAGTTAAAATATGGTTTATGAGACATGTGAATTTGGATTTTTAGGATGGATGTTTAGTTGCTCTTTATGGAACTTGAGATTCACAACTTTCTATGTTGGGCTACTACAAGGAGTTCCTCTGAAGAATCTGCAATCTTGCCTTTTGTACTATCCTAAAGGAGTGAAGTGGTAAGTTCACTCCTCTCCTATTTCCTTCCTCTTCCTGAAGAGAGCCAAGCTTGCTACAAGACTTGAAACTGATATGTAAGTTTGTTATTCTCTATTCTTTAGTGAATATTAACTCCTAAATGAATTGATGCATCTTAGAAGACCTGGAACTGCTATGTAAGTTTTCCCTCTTGTATTCTTCAGTTATTACCAACTCCTGAGTGAATTGATTCATCTTATTAGTCTTTTTCATTTTGAGCTTTGTTATGCAAATATGTTGATTATGGTACTCAAACAGACTTCATTAGAGGCGGGTTCCAATTTGTTGGTTTTTTAGACCATTCCCATAACTATGATGTCAAGGTACTAATTGAGGCTTTTATTTTTGTATAAAGATTATTGTATTCTCTGTTGCATGCTTCATTTCAATTTCTATTAAGAAATGTAATATATGCAAACATAGAAGAATCACATGCTAACTTAGGAGATCTATTTTTCACTTTCAGTTCTCCAAATTTGCTTCTCAAGTTAGTCCCCAAGTTACAGAAATGTCCATTTTGTGTTGATACACTTTCAAAACTTCAATTAACAGACATGTACTGAACTATGTTATTACCACATCTATCATTACAAAGATAGGTATTGAGCACTAAATTGCATCATCGAAAACAAATTATTGTTTCTTTGATCATTAATGAATGAGCCTGAGGCTTGATTATTTCTATCAAACAGAGTGTAATTATTTATGTGCAGCATTGTCTTATGTTGAAGCAATTATCTTCAGTTTTGAGATCGAGACTTTGTTTTGCCTTGATTGTTTCTTCGGCTAGTAGCAATTATGAGAATTTAATTTGTTTTGCTTGCCTTTGTAACAGGTTAAGATGCCACAGTACATGGTATGGGTGTTTCAGAAGAAAGAAAGGGTTCTATATTATGGATCTTGTTGGAACTTTATCTTTGACATTATACATTTGCTTGCAAA